ATTCGAAAGAGTTTGATCCTAAACAAAAATATCGAACTCGCACAATCTTGCATTTGCAGCTGTTACTATATTTCTTCTCATTTAGATGTTAGGAACATTTAAATTCAGGCATAAAGCATTCGCATTGAACAAAGTATGGATCCGGCTACTAGTTTCTTTGGTATTGGCCCGATAGATGGGCCCACTATGCGAAATGAGTCATGAACTCACTTGAGGTTACAAAACCGAGCCCGCGCGAGCCTAGCCCTAAGCTAATCAAACTCGCCCCCATGAAGGGAAAGGAATAAAGGAAATTCCAATTGGTCAACTCCCATTTTCGAAGCCAATTCCAGTCTGTTCTTGCTCAGCTGCACGCGTCGAAATTGGAAGAAAAGGCAAGGGAGAGTCAAAAGAAGGGAAGGGGGGGTTGCAGTTTCCATCTTGACCGAAGGGAGCAATCCCGGCATTCAGGGACCGGAATTCACGGCCAAAAAGAAAAGAGAGAAAAAGTAGAACAGAGGAGGCAGATTGTCATGGAGCAGGTGAAAAGAAAATGACAGGAAAAGACAGAGAGCGCTGTCGAGGCATGCGTGAGGAAGCGACGAAGACCAAAAGATGCAATTTCACCGTAAGTTTGTTTAGTTTACTTTCGTAAAATCTACGTTCCCTCAAAGTTCACTTTTCCTTTGCACTGTAATTTCCAAGAATTTTACTCCTCGGACTTAAATTTCTCCATCATTTCATTTCAAACCCAAAAACCAAATCAAGTTCAGCACTGTTTTTGAAGATGAACGGCTTTGGTTCAAGTTAGAACCAAAGTGAGAAAAAAACCATTTTATCTTGAAGAAAAGGTTGTGTAAAGGTGACCAGCATGGGGACTTTGCGAGTGGCCACCCTCTTCGGAGGAAACTCACTTTCCCAAATAATTTAAGCAAAAATACCAAATGAAATTAGATCAATTTTTTTTTCATTCCCGAGGAAGTGCATATTTTACGTGAATCTTCTTCAATAATGGTACAAAATAATAGTTTGATTGGAGTAGATACACGAATCACTTTAAATACAAGAAGCCGAGTGGGTGGATTAGTCCGAGTGGAGAGAAAAAAAAAGGATTGAACTGAAAATCTTTTCTAGAGATATACATTTTCCTAGAGAGATAGATAAGATATCCCAATACAGTGGCATCTTCATACCTCTAGGAACAGGAAAAACAAATTCTAAGGAATCCAAAAAATTGAAAAATTGAATCTCTATCCATCGGGTCTCAAGACTATTCGCATATTTGATGGACCAGAATCACTTGGCAACTGACTGTCATTTCTAGAATTAGCATCTACTCGTAAATCGCCTTCTGCTTTTTGGCATATCTTTCAAATGTGAGAAATGGACAAGAATTTCCTAGACAATTTCCTAACCGCGTGCCATTGTTTATTTGACTCTTCTTTGTTTTCACATTCATCCATCAAATCCAAGTACCTAACCATGCTGCAGAAGATGAAGACCACAGTTTTCACATTTTCACACACACAACAACCGAAGATATTTGCAATCAATTTTTCTTGCTACAAACCAAATTAAAACGCCATCTTTGAATTTCCCTATTCTAGTTTTAAAAATTCGAGATGTTTGACGTTAAATCAAGACCTGATTTCAAACTCTAAAAGGTCGAAAAAGAGAAAAAGCCTAAAGTTAAAGTAAAGAGACATCCGTACATCTGACAAAATTACTAGCCGAAAACCTCCCTTCAAATTAACACCTAATATCTATTTTATGTCCTCTTGGACTATGACCTTTTAACAGTAATATCAGATTGAAAACATTAATTTATGAAAGAACGTTACAACTTGTTAGAAAATATTTGTAATGCACATCATTCACAAATTACCAAATCTTTCCCGAATATCGCATGTATGTTATACATGGTCAGATTATGTCTAGAATCATGATATCATATATCTACTTTATATTAGTTTCTATATCAATGATCGTAATTACTTCTATAATGCATTCCGCTGATTTACGGAAGGCCTTTAGTTTATGTGTCTCTCGCTAACATAACCCTTCAATCAAAACTCACCACCAGTCACTTAGACAATGTCTGCCACAATTCACTATGAAAGACTTTGAACCCTAGAATCACGTTGTTGAGTCGACGCCAACTACGACTCAACTCCACCATGGACAAAAACCTCACGTGCCAGGACGAGACAACTCGTCCCGATCTTTTCCTTCATCAGACAAGTAATTGTCCTCCGAGTTGAACACTAGAAACCACGAACTTCACCTAGTCATGTGTCACTAGTCTTCTTTTGCTTCGTGCCACTATTTGGCCTTACTCTATGCTCCAGAATATGACGTCAACATCAAGGAACTACCAAATCATTAGTGCCACTCACACCTCCGCATCATCACAACATCATCGCTATTAGAGCTGGAAATTTATGTTCATGTATCATAATCAGATTTTGTAATCGTGTCAAGCAATTTTTCCAAATGCGGACCAGTCAAAAAACTGGTTCAGGTTACGGTTTGTGAGTCAACCAGTTGAACCACCCATTAAACCACCGAATCCATAAAGATGGAAAATCTACAAAGAAATTCATGATATATATTAAAGTATGCCAATTAGCACCAAAAAGATCGCTCATGTGTATAGATGCATGTTGAGTGTAAATGATATGTAGGGAAGTTTAGTGAATGAAGTTGTTATCTCTTGTTTAATTAACACCTAAAAAGAAACTAAGGGCAATCTTGCAAAAAAAAAAAAAGAGAGAGGGGGGGGGGGGGGCATTTGCATTTCTTTCTATTTTCTTCACTTTTGGAAAAAAAATAAAAATACGCCTGCTTGTGGGTAGTATGTCTCCTCTGTCTTGTTCACATGAAGAGCACTGAGAATTATAATGAAACGAGAGAAAGAAGTGTATCATGATATATTCTTCAGCCAGTCATCATATATGTCAAACAAAACCATTGAAAGCTCTGTTGCCTTCAAGATAAGATCAAACACACTTTGAACAATATCTTCAAGCACACTTTGAACGGTAGTTGCAGCTCATTTCCTTTAAGAACAATATCGAGGAAACCAAACAAGTGAACATCCAAAGGATCAAGCATCCCTTGCGACAATACATCCAGCGACCCGGTCCCATGATTTGGACAAATTAGGCATCATTGGAAAGCTCTTACAATGCACAACCCAATTGTACCCTTGATCATAATCTTAACGAGGTTAACTTTCAATCAAAATCTAGTCGAACCTCGGTAAACAATAAAGTGTTTACAGGTCAACAGTCTTCAACGAAGTAATAGATTCGATTCACGTGGAATATGTGTTTGGATTGAGGGAAGTGAAGGGAAATGGGCAGAAATAATAACCCAAGTATTTTTTCCCTTATTTGGCCGTCTAAATTAGAGAGGAAGTGGATGGAAATGATACAAATGTCAAAAACTCAGAGTCGTATTTGATGGGAATGCAAAGTCTGATTGGATTTTTAATTTTTTTCTTTTTAAAATTAAGAAAAGCTTAAAAACCATCCTCATTTTGAATCCCGATTTTACTTTATATCATCTATTTTCAAGGCTATGAATCTCCGATTTTAAATTTGTTATTAAACGCATGGGACATGAAAACTCCTAGGATGACAACCCATTGACTAACCAATGGAACCTTCTACGAAGTTTCTAGGATGACTCGTAAAACGCGTTTTATTTTTCGACACATCTTTCGAACGAGGCCTACGGACAAGAGTTTTCTGAGCAATGTCCTACACCGCGTGCCACATTTTTTTTTATTCAAACCTTCATTTTCACTTGTTCAAAAACCAAAGATATTGATTTAATTCTTCTTGCTATAAACCAAAATTCTCTTGCTATATAACAAATGGCACCACTATGATATCATGACATTTTAAAACCAAGTAGAGTTATATACTAAACATTTATTGATCATTTAGAGTTAAGATCTTGGAACCGCCTTATCAGCTAATTAAGTTCATCTTGTATGGTATTATGACAATACTCACTTCTATCTTGTTTGTCTATGTAAATTAAGAAAACCAAAATAGGAGCATAGCTAGGATTCGAAGATTGCACTGTCGACTCATGCCTGAACCAGTTAATACTTAGTAGACCTTTCACATTGTTAGGTTCTAGGGTTTATATATAATACTAGTTGCGTTTTTATTGTTGAATGGATGGGGTTGAAATCTCATGGGTTCCTTAATTAATACTAGAATAGGTATCAGCTTGATTTAGAATAGGTTCCTTAATTAATTGCGTGATCCATCTCTCGGTGAAATGAAGCAAGATTTACATCATAAAGAATTATGATTGTTTTGCTTGACTTATTCTTAAAAAGTTTGTGGTTGACTGAAATCTATTAAAATGCGTTTGGGAAAGGATTATATTCTCTATTGTGCTTTTATCATGTCAGAGACGGATTTGTTTTCTGCCTATTTTCATTTCTAAAACTTTCCCTCTACCGTAGATTGCTTAGCTTTGACACAGTCCACTTGTTAATTGACCAACTCAATTATTGAACCTACTCTCTCAAAGACCAAACTTTCTGATGATATACAGTTTCATCCCAAACACCATATAATAAAAACAGTGAATCTCACCTTCTTCCTGTCACCTTCTCTTTGTGTAGTCAAGTGGCGCTCAAACAGACTCGTCCCCGTTCACCCACAAACCCGTCTCCAAATGTCAAAAATGCCCTCAGCACCAATTATCAATTTATCTACCACCATCCCATGCAACAGAAACAAAAGTCACTCATCCAACACGATGGCACTTTCGTAATAATATTGCTAAACGAGACTGTTAACAATGGCATCGAAGATCCTGCACTCTCTCTCTCTCTTTCCTTTTCCTTTGTCTCCATTGTAAGCTACGGCACTTCTCTCTCTCTCTCTCTCTCTCTCCGCAGAGCTCTCATTCTTCAATTCTTACGCATTCACGTACTCCCTTCGTCTTTTCTACTCTCTCGCTCTTGGCTCCGCTCGAAACATGGCGGTTTCCGGACCTTCCTACGAGGTATTTCTAAGTTTTCGAGGACTAGACACTCGTCATGAATTCACTGATTTTCTTTACCATGGCATGGTTAAGGCCGGGATCCTCGTCTTTAGGGACAATGAATCCCTCCATGTCGGTAAAAGAATTGGCGATGAACTTCTACAAGCAATCAAGAACTCCAAGATCTACATTCCCATATTCTCCAAAAATTATGCTTCGAGTCACTGGTGCCTCCGAGAGCTTGCATACATGGTTGAGTGCACCTCCAAATCGAATGAGACTAAAGAGATTTTGCCCATTTTCTTGGATGTGGAGCCTGATGATGTCAAGCTCAAAACAGAATTATACAGCAAAGCTCTATCGAAGCACGAGAAAAAGTTTTGCACTGAAGTTGAGTCATGGAAAAAGGCTCTTATTGAGGTGGACGAGATAAAGGGATGGAACTGGAAGAAAGATGAAAGGTAAATGTCTCAAACTTTTCAACTGTCATCTGTAGATATCATTTTCCTCCCTAATCAGTTTACTTGTGGTATTGTTGGTGAAAATATTCATCTGGCTGATCCTATATAGTGTAAATTGTGGTCGTGGCCATTGCTGCTACTTCTATTGACCATAGTGGCCAATATTGGCTCTATCGCAGCGATAGCTTCGGTTGATGGTGCTATTGCGGTGGTAGCACACCCTACTCATCCTGATTCTGTTTCTCCTCTCACACTCAGTCTTTGACATAGTAGCCATGAACAGTAACAAATCTCCTAGCCGTTCCACCAAGCCACCGCCAGCCACCACAGCAACTCAACGGTTAGTCCCTGCCACTTCTTCGTTGCCAGCTAGCACCAAGCCGCCAGAAGCTGCGGCTCAGCCATCCGACCCCCACCATTTCTCCTTCTCACTCACGGTGACGAGTCGGATCTGGGCTCGGGATGCCAGTTCTGACGTCACCAAGCCCAGATCCGGCCTCACCGACCTTGGGTGATGCCAAATCTGATATTGCCCAAGGCCGGTTACGCCATCCCTGGCGGTCGCAAGGCCACGACCCACGTGATGTGGAGTATTGAGGCAAGGCCAAGATAAGCGGGTCGATGGGGCGCGATGGGCAACGGCACTATAATGCCACGGTGATGGCCCAGGGAGGTGAGTGATGTCAATGGCGGTGTGGCAGTGGCAGGGGCCGACGGTGTGGTGACTAAAATTGGGGGAGCGCAGATAGATTGGGAAAAATCCGGATTGTTTTGGCTTCTATATTTCTTTGCGTAATTTCTGCCAATTGAAAGGGCAATTTTGTCACTTAGGGAGTAGTTTTACAACATAAAATTTATCCCTAACATGGTTGTTCTGTTGTGGCAGCCAAGTAGATTTGACACAATCTATAATTCAATTTGTGTCGAATAAGCTGAACGTCGGATTTAAAAAAAATGTGACTGAACATCTAGTTGGAGTTGATGATCGTGTAGAAGTTATAATCAAAATGTTGCATGTGGAATCCGATAGCGTACAATTCCTCGGAATCCACGGAATAGGCGGGATTGGCAAAACAACACTTGTCAAGATCATCTTCAACCGACTATCTTCTCACTTCCGAGGCTGCAATTTCCTTTCAGATATCGGAGAGTCATCACGACGTCATGGTCTGGTACATTTGCAAAAACAGTTACTATCCAAGTTCCACGATTCTTGTTCTATCCTCGACAAAATTCACGACGTGGATGATGGGATCGACCTGATTAAGAGAGTACTTCGCAATAAAAAAGTTCTCCTTGTTCTTGACGACGTGGATGAGAAAGAGCAACTCAAAATATTAGCAAAAAAGGGCAATTGGTTCGGTTCCGGTAGTAGGATTATCATAACTACTAGGGACCAAAGTGTCCTAATGATTGAGGGAGAAGCAACAGATGAAGGCCCTGTAAAAAAGTTTGCAAATGTTTGGACTTACGAAGTACATGCAATGGAATTTGATCATGCTCTTAAGCTTTTTAGTAGGCATGCTTTTAGAAGAGACTCTCCACCATACCATTATGTCTCCCTTTCAAAAGCAATTGTCTCTACTTTGGGAATGCTTCCATTGGCTCTTGAGATTACAGGTTCATCCCTTAGCGGTAAATCCGAAAAAATATGGGTAGACACATTGAAGAAGCTAGAAGAAGCTCCTCCCAGGGGAGTCCAAAAAAAATTGATGGTATCTTATGAAAGGTTAGATCATGCACAAAAGCAAGTATTTCTGGATATAGCTTGTTTTTTTGTTGATCGGGACAAAACATACCCTCTGTACATGTGGGATGAATGTGGATATCACCCACACGATTCCCTTGAAGTCCTCTCTCTCATGTCCTTGATAAAAATCAAAGACAGCAATACTTTCTGGATGCATGATCAAGTGCGGGACCTCGGAAGGGAGATTGTTCGTCAAGAGAATTTTAACAATCCCTGCAAGCGTAGCAGAGTGTGGAATTATAAGGAAGCCTTGAGAATTCTGAAGCTGAAAGAGGTACAATAAGGGAATAGCAATTTATTTTCCTATGAATTGTTGCATACTATTCTTGCAAAAGGAAAAATTAATCGCTCTTAGCACATAAAATTGTTTGCTTTTGACCTTCACATGTGCACTTCTTGGTGTTTCCATTGTCAGGGAAGTCGGAAAATAGAAGCACTGTCTGTAGGATATCATGGAAATGAAGACGTTATTTTAAAGCATGATGAATTTGCTAATTTGCGGAACCTGAGGTTCTTTCGGGGGGATGGGGTGCTCTTTGTTGGAGACTTCAATAATCTTCTCTTCAATTTAAGATGGATTTCTTGGCAAAGTTGCCCTCCCCAGTTTGAGGCAACAAACTTTCATCTGGCTAATTTAGTCGTTCTTGACCTTTCACGGAGCTATATTTCTGAGGAATGGATTGGCTGGAACCAAATCAAAGTATGATTTGAGTCCCACTCCTTGCATAAGCATATTGTTTCTTTTGTCTATTTTTTTTCCCTACAGGTTGTTTCTTGATACATATTCTATTAAATTGTTTTGCAGGAGGCCAGAAATCTAAAAGTACTAAATCTCAGCTTCTGCTACCACTTAAAAAGAACACCTGATTTATCTACGTGGGTGTATCTGGAGAAATTGGTTTTTGAACACTGTTCCAACTTAATTGAAATTGACCCATCCATTGGTAAATTAAAGCTCCTAACTTCTTTGAACTTGGGGGGATGTTGGTCTCTTCAAGAGTTGCCTAAAGAAATAGGAAGTCTACAAGCTTTGACAGAGATTGTCATGCCTATTACGCTACGTGAACTTCCGGAGACGTTTGGTAATTTGCAGTCACTATTGACCTTAGATGTATCATATAAGGATATCATCAAATTGCCATACTCGATTGGAGGGCTGGTGAAACTTACGCGGTTGAATTTATCTGGGTGTACATACATAAAGGAACTTCCAGACTCGGTTGGGAAATTACAATCATTAGTCGAGTTGGATTTGTCACGAACAAGAATTTGTCACCTACCTGATTCAATCGGCAATCTAAAGCAACTGAAGGTACTAAGGATGGGAAGCATAGGAGGGATAACAAAATTGCCAAGTGCGATTGGGCTGGTGGAGAAGCTCGAAGAGTTGAATGCTCACGGATGTTGCAACTTGATCGGCGAAATCCCTGAAGAAATTGGGAGACTATCCCATTTGAGGATCCTAGACTTGTCAAACACAAGTATATCCGGATTACCCACCACGGTGAGTCACCTTTCTAATCTCCAAATACTTAAGCTAGAAAGATGTCCCGAGCTGAGACAATTGCCAGAGCTTCCCCCAAGTTTGACTTGGTTGATATGGATCCCTTTTTATTTCCAATGGCCCCCCTCGATAGCCCTCATCAATCCCACTAGAATTGGTGCCCTATCTCGACAGGGAACACTCGTCACCACTCTTCCCACTAGCATCGGTATCCTATCTCAGCTTAAAACACTATTATTGTCCTGCAAATACGTGCAATTCCTCCCCCGGCTCCCGTCTAGTTTAAGAGATTTACGACTTGTAGATCTGGCGACCACACGATCACCTGATTTTTCCAATTTGAAAAACTTGTCAATCTTGGTATTCTCTCAATGTTCGCTAAAACTCTCGAGTATATTTGATGCGGAGTCGGAGGAACTCCATGTGGAGCGCTGTAAGCTTAGAAAACTGGACTCCCCATCGCAGCCGGAAATGAAAAGATTGAGATTATTAAAGATGGTTGAATGTGAGTTCCTTCCAGAAGTACTTGATCTATCGCGCATGAAGAATCTATACGAGGTAAGTTTGACACGTTGCCATTCATTAGTCGAGATTCGTGGCCTTGAAGAATTGGGATCCCTTCGCTCCCTAGTAGTCGTCGATTGCCCTTCCCTGGAGAGGATGTCAGACCTCTCAAAATTGAAAAAGCTATGGAAGCTCGAGGTAATAAATTGTGGTAATCTAAAAAGAGTGCAAGGTCTAAACCACTTGGGGCCTTTAAAGACGCGGACAATCGAAGGTAATGGAGAGTTTCGGGGGTGATACCTCAAACGCTGCCACTGCGTCCGCCGTCATACACAGAATTCCCATTGGCGGCTCTGATTCCTAGATCCGCTGCATTCTTCGGCGGGTCGCCGCGGCCTCCACCCCTACTTACGCCTCCGCCATCATCGCCTCTAGGAGCCCCTTGGCGGCTGCTGGTTGGAATATGGCAGCATCAAATTTCGCACCAGAACTTGCAACTGGTAATTCTAAAATTGCACACCAAATGCTTGCGCAATTGCCTCTTTCCCTGTTCGAATCTGGATATGAAGTTTCGTTACGGTGGTTTGATGGGTGAAGTTTCTGGTGTTGAGCTAAATGGGAAAACTGTGCGAATGGACATCTTAGTTTTGATTTGATTTGATTTGGTGTGCAGAGGGTGGTAAAAACCCGACGTTTCAAGAGAAGTTTGTGTTCACGCTCGTTGAAGGGCATAGGTAGTTGAATCTTGCGGTGTGGAACGGCAATATCCTCACTTTGGGCATGTACGATCCGTTGAATCTATTCCTCTTGTTTTATGCCTGTAGAATTATGCATAAGGTTCAAAAGCAAAATACGAAAAAAAAAATGTCAGAAGATAGAGTACATAAGATGACCTTTGTATAAGAACAGTGGTGTGGTTTCTCTAATTCACTCATTTGCAATAATAATGCTAGGTTCTAACTTTGCTTTCAAAATTACATGCTGACTGCCAAATTATTGCTGTTGTCATCGTCATTATCATCATTAGTAGGTTTGATCGTTTGACCAATTTGCTGGAAACTTGGGTGCTTCATAATAGTGGCTGCATTTTCCATGTCCATTTTAGTTAGTCATTTGTGTGTTAGGGCTTGGCACGTCATATTTGCCAACTTTTATTGTTTTATTGTCTATGGATATACTATATTTTGTTTTCAGGTGAAATATGAGCTATTGGAGAATATTGTGAGTATTTATTCCTTTCAGAAGTAAAATTCTTGCACAGTTTAGTTGTCCCAGTAGTGACCATTACTGGAAATACACTAGTTCTTCTAGCTAGATTCTAATATGGTCAATTTTGCAATGGACCAAGTAGAATACTTGTCTTGGTGTGAGAACAAGCCCTTGGATTTTTCCTTTTTATTTTCAAGGATATAGTTGGGCACGTACTAATATTTGATCCGACAACTTTGAGATTGAAACATATTGATATGTCCAACCAATTCTGTAAGAATGACATGGACTATTTCCTGCAGCTGAAGTAATGGAGTCTTTACATATTCCCAAGGGTGTGGGACGGGTGTTGTTCAGAATCCTACATACTGCCAGGTAAACTTTGGTTCCTAAGCATCCTTTTGTGGGTCATGGTAAGCTGAACTAATGTGGGATTTCCAAATTGTTGGAAATCATGTCACCCATGCATGTGCTATTGGAGTACTCATCTGAGTATTTTAGTATACTGTGGTACTAGTCAGTACTATGATTAGAAGGACAAATTAGATTTGTGCTATGTTTTGTTCTTAGATGGCTTATGTACAAAAAAGAGTTCGACACGAGCCATGTGGAATTCGTGAGAGATGGAGCAAAATGGTTGGTAGAGAACATAGAAATTAAACTTGGTAGTATTCGTCCTTTTCTATTATTCTGATGCAATCTTAGTGAGAAAGCTCTTTTTCTCTTTTCTTTTTTTCTTTTTTGTTTGTGTGTGTTTGGTGGTTTGCTTCATTTTAATCTTATCTTCACCTTTTACCAAGACTCACTGATTTATAGTGTACTTCATGATGTTTCCTAATCGTTACCCAGAAACCATGTTAGGATATATTTCTCTGTTAGGTAGCTACCTTTTCTATTACCACCAATTTTTACTTGCAGCTTCACTACAAGCAAATGTTATTTTTCTTAGGCATGGCAACAAATGCATACTTTCATCTTATTTGATTTTCTCCTTGCCGACACATGAGTCGCAGTATGGTGCTGTAATAACTGTCAACATGAACACATGATATTCGGTTGATCTCTAAAGACATGGTTGTGTAAGAAAACGCTCAAGCATATGTTGCTATTAGGCTTTTTGAGCACTACACAGGTTCAATTTTCACTAAACCTACCTCTTGAGAAATAGTGCGACTTGATCATGTATTTTCTTTCTTCTTCTGCAACTTGTAGATTATTACATGTCTGAGATTGAGATGCAATCATGCATGACACAGTCTGTGCTATTCGATGCATGAATTGATTACCTGTCTGTTACCTCATATGATCATTTGATCCCATCCCACCTTATCTTCCTCGAAAGCTGGGTAAGAAATTGATTTGACGTATGACAAACTTCCCCATCAAAGTTAAGGATGACCATGTTTCATTGCTGAATTGCCATCTTAGACCTAAACTAGTGTTGGTGATTTTTCCCTAATTTCACATCGTTGCATTCTCATATGAAGTCTAGGTTCAAGACATTGACACTACGGTAAAGTTGCAAGAAATTATTCTTGTTGAGGGCTTGAAACTCGAAGATGCACCCATAGGAGTGTATACAGTCCATGTCTGCCTTTGAGATTACTTGGTGCAGAAGGATCACGTATAAGATGCATCCTTATCAAATAACTTCTCCGAGTTTTGTTCTTTTTGAGGGGAATTAATTAGACGACTGTTTTATCTACGATCATCATTATCGTCATCACACGAGATCAACTTATCCCTGATTGGTTACCATAGAGGTGTCAATTGAAGATTCTTTTGTTGTTTTCGTGACTTTGCATGTGATAATGCCAGGTGCTAACAATATTTCGTTTTTGGTTCCAGGGGAGTAGGAGTTATCAAAAGTGCCAAGTGAGAAAGGCATTGCACGCACGTTCTCCTCAGAATTCAAATTTACTTTGACAGGACACGTTTTGCAGAGATTGTGGAACTTTAGCGATCATTTGAATATGTAATATTACTATAGGCAAAGCAGAGGCTATGGTTATGTTTACATAGATAATGTTATGCTTGCAAAATAAGACTCATTTGGATTGTTTCTCATGTTTCTTCTTTTCTGTTAATAAAGAGCTGCTGAGGATTGACTTCATTTGAACATATACTTGATGAGGCCCGCCGAAATTGGTTATAGTGACTCATGAACAGAAGCCTTTGAGAATCTGTTTGTCTATTTGAGAGCAGTTCTCTCCGGTGGAATTGTACATGACAAGGGCAAAAAAAAAAAAATCATTTTTTCAAGTCTTTCCTATATTTATTTGCAAATATTTTTGTACATGACAGGCGTTTCTGGTGTGGTTTTAGATTGATTTGGCATTAGGATACGCCATTCTCTAGTGTTCTCTTTGTTGAGGTCTTATGGGGGCTGAAGTTTGCTTATATCACTGCAGTTTGATTTTTTTTTTTCCTTCTTTTACAGTCCAGTATCTTCTGCGTTCTTGTGAACTATTTGATTGAGCTAATAGGGGTCTACTCTGACTATGTCCAAGTTTGGCTTGGTCTTACTAGTCATTTCCTGATTCACATTACCCTTTTACTATAATATACCCGAAGATAGTGTTGCTCAAAGTCTTATCCAGGCTACTTTTTCTGCAGCTTCAACAAGTAGCTTCTTTACATGTCCACTGTTGAAATATTGCGCCAACCTAATTTTCTCTCTTCTTTTATACTTCACTAACTGCATCTTCTTGTTTTGTTCGGAAACCTTCATACAATCACCGGAGCACTTGGCACCCGCTGGTTATGTCAAGATACTCCCATGACTATGATTCTGTGTTAATAGAGAAAATATTTAAACACGATGACTTTTTGTTTATATCTTCTTGATGGTCCTAATTTTGTACATCTTACTATATTATCCTGTCAAAAATTTTTATAACCATTCCAAAATAGGCGTGGCCGACAATACTCTTTGTATAACATAGGAGCAATGCATATTTTCATAGATTCCCTGTTTTTAGTTTCATATGTTTGATATTATTTCTCAATGCAAAATCTCATTTCACTCACTATTGTGTCACAAAGTAAATGTCATTTCAATTAAGCAATGCGTGAATTGCCTTTCGTTTCTGCAGGACCTTGCTAACTGTCTAAAAGGCTGCAGGTATCTCCCAAAAGTAAACATTGATCTCGTGGATTACAGAAACTCAACCTACAAGGAAAGATTTGCTAACTTGCGGAACCCTGTCCTTATTATGGTTAGTTTTGTATATGTTGTTGATTTTGGATCCTTGTCTTTTGCAGCTTTGTGATGCTAACTCTTTTTATTTCCTCTAGTTTGAGCAAGACACTGTGTTGATACCAGAGGAAACATCCTAGTTCGTATACTATCTAGATGAAACTTTTGATACTGTTTTGCCTACCCAGGAGGTAATTGCTGCATTACCTTGAAATGCAGTTATCAATGTCTTTATTGGTGCCATTGAATCATGGTAATTTGGGTGATACTGATGGTCGCTGAAAAGCAGCGGTAAAGTATTTATGGTGGATGAGGGTGGAATCTCCTTGTGGTACAGAAAGCATGCATTTTGAAAGGTTCCATTCTTTTGAGATTATTTCCTGTCCTCAAACTGATTCCATAATTAAGAATTTGCTCGAGGACTTGCACACACATAAATATGTGAAAAATCAAGGGTGTAGAATATATAAAGTCTCTGGTAACATTGATATTGACTTGGAATCAACTTGTTTTATTGTGCGCAAAATCAACTTGTTTTATTGCACTTTGCGCAATCAACCAAGAAATGTAACAGAGAACAAGCTGAAACATTTTCTAAGCCCTAGATGTGAATGATTAACCATGTTGAAAGTAATACTGAGGATTGTGAAAGCATTATCTTTACTGAGCCCTAGGGTGTAGGAGGTGTATATCCATGACATGGTCTGAAATTACTTTTGGTAGTGATTTATGATTTTCATTTCATCATTGAGCATTAACTATTGACAAGTCGATAATCGAAGGAAAATTGCATTTACATGAGAAAAATGGACAAAAGAGAATGGGCGAACGACCATATTGTGATATTGTGTGGTCGCTGTGGTGTAAGCTTGTCATAACATGCTTTTACCCTTACTCTGCTACAATTTGTATCCTTTTACCATTAGGACTGGATTGGATTGGATTGAAAAAAACAAATAGAAATGTATCTAATCGATGCATTTCCTGCAGACCGAGCTTTACACCAAGGATTGGATTGGATTGAACACCTTGGATGAAGCTGGGAAAGTCAAATTCATCAATGTCTCTAGGAACCATCTCCAGATCTCTCTTGCTGACATGCAAAAATATATAGTACCTTACTTGGTGGATGATGCAGCTTTAGCAAAGAAAATGGCAACAAGAATGGCTTCTAATAGTTGGACCCCATGGGTTCAGGGATTGTATCGAAGAATGTTGAGGCAAAGATTGGTTAGGCTGTTTGAGGATTGGCCACTACTCCTCTTGGTAGTTACCTTTAGCTTCTGCTTAAAAATGTAAGATTATGACATACAATGTGATTTGAGAGATCAATTCAGGCAGAAACTGAGACGGTCAATGCAAATGAACTCCATACAGATTTTGATTTACATGTGACTTAAAGATAAAGCAGTTAGGACTTGATCATTTGCAAAATATGCACAATGTAACTGGGCTCTTACACCTACCGTGTGAGTTAACCATTTTCATTGTGGCATATACTCTATCAACAAATATAGGTGGACCAAATCAATGGTTGAATTTTCATTTACCTTAATGTACTATACACATAGGTAAATGACCCAACAGATGATAGGATTTATACCACACAAATAAATAAAATATATGATCTGATTAAAGATCATATTACAATTTACTTATATACATTATAAGCTATAGTATACTATATGTCAATTTAAATTTTGCATGCATTAGCTAATTCCGGTTTCTTGGTAACTCCTTTGCTTCTCCATGCAAATTTATTTTATGATTGCTGGCTCTTTCTAGCATCCAATTTTCGGTTCCTAACATGATAATGTTCTTATGGTGTTTCGAAATAATCCTCCTAAATTATGTTATGTAATTTGTTAATTTGGATATGACTCGATGTAAGAGACAATAAACAAGTTAAATTTGTAATTGGAGTTTTGATATGATTTGTTAGTAACATAAGTGGCAACAAATCAAAGTCATCTACTAACTATTCGATATCAAGCTGGTGTAGTTTCGTATCTCCATCTTCTGAGTTATCAGTCAACCCATCAAATGTATGCGCACTGAGAAACTTACACATGAAACACACGATAGTAGTCCAACAAGATAAACAAGTAGTCATGAATGAAAGTTAAATCAGCATTCAGCACCCATAAACCTTCCATGATATGATGGTATCCAGCAAAGACTACATGAGACTACAAACTGACATCAAGTTTCCACTCGTAATTTGCAAGCAAACCTCCTGGATAAGGCAAGAAACATAACGACGCATATATCACAATTCCAAGCGGGGAGATTTAAGAGAGAAATCGAAACCAAGAATTGTGAAGAATCGCCATTGGGAAACTCACAAGTACCTGACATAGATGTCGATGGTTTTGCTGTTCCATGATCTGTTATATGCCAACTAAACTATTTCTTACCACCACCAGCCTGGAACTCTTGTTAGTTGCTGCTTTGGCAATATATTCAGGGGTTTCCTGTTGCATGAATGACAATAATATACACATTGTATAAGTGACATATACGTATCGTAAAATGAACACTAAAATGCAATTTGCCCGATCAGAAGTACCAATCTCGTTCTAGGATAGAGAGCAAACTTCATCCATCTAATAAAAATTTATACAAATCTCTTCCAAAATTGCAGTACCATAAGACATGACCCGTTTTTTAGGAAAGGAAAGCATCAACTTGCTTCCAACAATGGGCAAAAACAGCATCTACAAGTCAGGACTTGCTCAATAAATAGGGTTCTTACATCCACCATCATTTAGCTCCATGTCGGGAGGCAGACAACTCTCAATGGCTGTTTGAAGTTCCTCAAACCCAGGACCATGGTTGGCATTTTAAAGTTGCCAAGGAACCTGTGCTGGAGATTTACAGAGACTTGTGTAGAGCATGTCTTAGGCTTGAACGCTAGATTGGGGGATTGAAGTGTGCATTTGCTTTCCTGCCATCCATTGCAATTATGGTTGTTAATCAGGCCGAAATTCTTAACAGATCCGTATAAGCATGCTGGTGCTTTTGTTTATCTAATTGATTTCATGAATAGGTTGATGCAACACCATTAGCACATCTGTAAAGTTACATGAGACTAATCGGGCATAAGCAGCAGGGGCATGGCAACAAACTACCGTTGATTTACAACACTACCACCAACAGTTTAAAAATGATCACAAAGATCTAAAAATTTGTGCATCGCTAGGGCAATCAATGGCTTATGAAGTGAGTTAAAGGGAGTACTATTCATCCACCAAAAGTTGCATCTGAAGACATCTCTTTGCTAGAGCAATGTGTGACATTACACCTTCACATACATTAAAAGAAGGTAAATTCTAGGTTCTCAGTACTCAAATATATCAAGATGACATACCTTCCTCTTAGCAGGTATAGATAGATTCTTAGCTGGCTTAAAGAAGGATTCTAATCTGTAGAAAATAAACGAGGAATCATCGGATGAAAGAAAGTGCATTTTGGAAGTCACTTTCATTTATTCACGCTTTAGTTACCGGCCTTGTGATGACTCATCCTTAGCTGCCTTAATCTTCTCTATCGTCTGCTACACATGGTAAAACAACATTGAAAACATGTATGCTCTCTCCTCCAGAGGAAAAGAAGCAACTTCCTCGAGTAGGCAACTGACCAACACATTACTGAGAATAGAAGCCATACCTTTGTCACTCTGTCAATGTTGAACCCATTCTCATTCACTAGAAAGGACGTTAAGCCCTTGAAAGGGAAAGAACAATCAATTAGGAAATGAGTCAAGAATTCAAAAGTGAAATGTTGCAAGTGAATCCCAACATGAAAATGGCCCACTTCGTCATTTGGAGCAGTCCATTTTATCTCAGGTTGTTCTTCCGTAGAAACTATTGGTTCCTTAAAAAGCAGTCGAGCTTCGCCATAGGGCCAATTATCGGGTATCTGATACCTATTCAAAAAACAAGAAAACATTTCCTTAAGAAGGATAACTGAACTGAATAAAGACTTCCGAGTAATGCAAAGAGCCTCTGGGTCTTAAGGATAGAGAAACGAATTTTGTTCAAGTGAGAGTGAAAGAATAGACAAAGCAGACATCATAATAGATAAAAGTATTATAGTAAATCAACACATGAAGTAGCATGGTTGATGCACTGATTTCCAGCGCAAATCTATTGGTGGCAAATGATCTTTCAGTTTCAAAGCGTTGATCAAATATTTCCGCTCCAGCTGAGTTTGAGAGATAATTCTTTTAAGTGAAGGAATAAGCAGCCAAGACAATTACAGTGAGAAACTTTGCTGCCTTATTTTGCTTACAAGTCGGGGGGACAAGATAAGAGAATAAGAAGCACCTTTGCTTGTTTATGTTCTCTAGTATGTTTTCTATGGAACCATGTTGACGGATGAGCTTAAGAGCAGTCAGCCCTCCAATACCTGATAAATTCATTCCAAAGTAAAGCCACTGAAATCATCAATCTAAAACATATGAGAGAGCAGAATGATACACGATAGCATAAAACAGTTAACAGAGCACTGCAATAATATCACGTCTACCTCGAATGCTTTCACAATAGTCACATCCAGAGAGAATGCAAAGGTCAATGAATTGATCCATATCCAGATTCATCTCCTCCAAGATCTAAAAGTCATGAAAGTGAGAAAAAAAAAATTTAAGCAATCGCAATGAATAAACTTTTCTAAGTACCCTGGAAATTTCAAATTCCATGACTGGAACTTTTCTTGAGCTGGGATCCATAAAATGGCGAAGAAATCTAGGAGCTCCAAAAGTAAGGGAATCCATATCTTCAGAAGCAACTGCATAAACCTGAAAAACAAAAATTACATCTAAAACACCATTGGTGATAGATGAATTCTGGTTACCGCACAACAATTAAGCAATGATAGGAATTCAAAGTCAGCGAAAATTCCTTGGACAAAGATGATTTAGTAAAGAACGTACCAAATGTAAATGACTACGCAGAAGAAGACATTAGACAAGTGAAAAAGCATAAGTTCAGTGGATCCCGTAAAAACTTCTTTCGAGGAAACAAGTGACTATGCAGAAAAAGACATTAGA